TGCTGACCGGAGGACTCACACTGAAGGCCCACGCACTGGTTTCTGGCACATTTTTTGCTCACCGCTGCCGGACAGACCGGCGCCGTTGTGCGCTGTGCGCTCCCATCCAACCGTTCATCCACAGGTACTCAGCCCCTACTACTGCAGCCCGCCGAGCATTCCCTGACCGCTTCCGCACTGAAATCAATACATTTATCAACATATGCGTCATCATTCATCCATTCGCTCAGCATCGGAGAGGGCTAACACGCACTCGTTTGAGGATGACTTACTGCTGTTGCAGCAGAACATCTCTTCATTTGAATATTGTGGAGGGGGGGGAGAGCAACAGACGTGGTGGGGAGAGAAAAAAAGATTTCGCCTGTTCTCACACTTGTTCCTTTACACGAAATCCTACAGCCAAAAGCCCCTATGAGCAGCTAACGCGCTGAAATCGTTTAAAAACAATCAAAACCCAAACGTCACTTTGTAATTTATGCGCAATTTGACGTGGGACAGCGGGTTATTTGACAGGCGACCGGCGTTTGCGCTTCAGAGGACTCCACATTCAAATCCATCAAAGCAGCACCGACGATCAGGTTCACAGCTTCACGATCACATTTGTTTCTCTTTCCCTTTTTCTTTCTTTCTTTTTTTTTTCACTCTGTATGTGTTTGTATCCCGGTCATCCACAGCGGACTGGTTCTCAACCCATTTTCATTCAACGCATCCCATCCATAAATCTTGACATGTCGCTGAGCTGCCTTGCATCCTTAAACAGCTCTGTAGTTTCACAGTTTAATGCTGAAGCACCTCTTCACCCAACACCCCTCATAAAAAAAAGAAAAGAAAGAAAAGCTGAGATGTTACTCACCTTTTCTCAGTGGATGCTTTTCTGAAGTGTCCCATTTGTGCGTTTTAATCCACATCTGTGTCTCCTTCATTTGAGCGCTCTATTTCCCCCCCTCAATGAGCGAGAGAGGGAGAGAGAGGGAGGAAGCGCGTTTAAGAAAATCCATTTGTTAATTCCATTTGCCGGACACTCAAGGTGAAATCACATTGCCTCTGCCTCTTTATTTCTTTCTTCTGTTAACAGCTTCAAAATTCTTCCATCATTGTGAAAATCCCGTAAAGCCCTATCATCTTTTTGCTTTTTTTTTTATCTTCTTCTCTCCAGCACTGAAGTTGCTTGGTTACCCCTATTTCTCATTCAAGGAGGCTGAAGCGCTGAATACAGCGGCCAATCATAGCAGCAGCCGGAGAGATTAACTATTTCTTGGCTCCAGTATTCTAGTTTCAAGCTTAAATGAGGAGAGTAGGCGGGGAAAAACTGGGCCCCCGGTGACAGAAGAAGGAAAAAAAAATTAAAATGCACAGAGAATAATGTAGAGAGGGGATCCGTTGGAGGGAGAATGTGTGGAGGGGGGAGGGGACGAAAGGGATTAAACATTTTCGAAAAATAAAGGATTCTGGAGAGGAGGAGGGACCAGTTGCCACTTCTCACAACAACAAAGATGTAAGTGAATAATATTCCTGCCTTGCAGGGCTCTCATGCAAACTGGAGTGGAGCCTCCATTCCTTCTGAATTTGCCTTTAAAGAGCAGAGATCTGTCTCATTTCAGAGATCCCCAAAAAGCAATCCATCAGGGTAATTGATCATCCCCCTTTAACCAGCCATCCATCAAGTCCAAGCTCACTCTCTCTCCCTCTGTCCGCCACCTCCTACCTTCCCTCACCCCTGTCTCACTGCAGTCGCCTCATCATAGGCTGTATTGATTTTAATTTACCCCTTAAGATTGTCAAGGGGAGAAAGCTAGGTTCGCTCACCGGCTCATGCAGGCGTAATGACCCCCTGCCTTCAAGGTCCTTTTATTGAGGAACATCCAGGTCAAGCCCCCCACCTCTCCAAGCACACGCCTACCTTTGGTCTTTGTGGCCCGCTCATTGAAGGCTTCTGACTTGCCCTCCACCACCACCCCTCACAGGGTGCCATGCAGGAGTGCTGGTGCATTATGGGCAAACAGTCGGGGGTCCTGACAAGGAGACAACAAGCTTCTCAAAGAGAGACAGAGCACCAGCAACCATTGAGAGGGGGTGACCTGTGTTGGGGGGACTGACTGCACACTAATGATGCAGAACATTCCTGCAGAATGAATTTATGTTATTTTAT